AAAAAAAAAATGCTAGCATCATGTAGCGGTAACTTGGAGAAGCTTGTTACACACCATGTGCTATCATCTATCGAACAATCATTATTTCATTTTCGTACTTTTAGTTCCTGTCAAAGTTAAGAGTTGTTTAGATGGCAGCACTTTTCGTAGACAAGAAACGCAGTAACATCCAACAAGGATAGAGATAGCGAATAGTTCTACCATTTCTCCACTATGTGGCGATAGTGTTTTGAGCATTCTTTCTGAAAATATTTATCAAACTTCAATGTTAGCTTACTCATTTGTGTTATGTCTCGTAGAACATTGTGTACGATGTTTTACATAAAAAAAGATTTCATTAAACTATAGTAATTGTTCGGAGTTTCAATTTTATTCATACAAGTTGTATAAATACAATACAATCATGAACGCGAAGAAGGTTATAACATTTGGGAAAATTAGTAAAGATTTAAATCTAGAAGGAACAAAAAATACAGAATCTACTCCGGATACTAGTTCTGGATTCGGTACGTTTGGTAAAAAGTCAGTGGAGACTAACGTGACGAAAATGAATGAAATCAAACCGGAAGACGAGGAAGAGTCCCAAAATTTGAAGCAGGTTATGGGCATAACAGGTTTTGGTAAGAAGGCCAAGTCCTTTGACGTGCAAGAGATGCTGGAAAATATTGCAAAAACAGTTAACATTAACAAAGCAAATTCTGAAAGGGCAAAACTTGCTGAGAAAGAGGTTAAAATTCAGTCATCAGAGGAATCTATAAACATTGATGTTAATGATGGAAATACCACTGGAAGCGAGGACGAGGAGGAGGAGGAGGAGGAGGAGGAGGAGGAGGATTTTGTTGGACCCCCAATACCTTCTGAATTTCAGAATTCGACGAATTCAAAACAGTCTATGAAGGTCAGAGACAAGAGTGACGATGAAAGTGACGATGATGATGAATCTGGTACTGAAGAAGAATTACAATTGAAAGACAAAGTCCCATGTAGTCACGAGGTTACAATGACTCATGGAACAAAGGCAGTAACAGCCATAGCAGCAGATCCTTCTGGAGCTAGATTAGCTTCAGGTTCCATTGATTATGATGTTTGTTTCTGGGATTTTGCTGGTATGGACTCATCTATGAGAAGTTTCAGAACGTTACAGCCTTGTGAAAATCATCCGATCAAATGTTTACAGTATTCTATGACTGGTGATGTTATATTAGTTATATCTGGTTCAGCACAAGCAAAAGTCTTAGATAGAGATGGCTTTGAAAAATGTGAAACCGTGAAAGGTGATCAGTACATATCAGACATGGCACGTACTAAAGGACATACCGCAGGATTATACAGTGGCTGTTGGCATCCATTCACAAAGGAAGAATACCTTACTTGTTCGCAAGATAGTACATGTAGAATATGGATTTTGTACAGGCCACGTGCGCATAAACATTTAATAAAGTGTAGAGCACAGAATGGAGTTAAAACCATACCAACTACTTGTGGTTACAGTAGAGAAGGCAATGTAGTCGCTTGTGGTTGTATAGATGGTTCTATACAAATGTGGGATCATAGGAAAAATTTTGTGAATCCATCGTTGATTCAGAGGAATGCACATGCACAGGGTTGCGAGATATCAAGCTTGAGTTTCTCTTATCTTGGTCAAATGCTTGCAACTAGAAGCTGCGACGACACGTTAAAGCTTTGGGATTTGAGATCATTTAAAACGCCAATCTTCGAAGCAAAAGATATATATTCCAGATACGATACGACTGACTGCATGTTTAATCCAAATGATTCGATCCTCATTACAGGAGAATCACTAAAGAAAAATCAGAATACAGGTAGAATTCTGTTTTATGATACAAAGACTTTTGAGCTAGTTAACAGAATAAATGTGACAAATTCGCACGTTATTAAGACATTGTGGCATCCAAAGCTAAATCAAATATTCGTTGGTTGTGGAAATGGAATAGTTAAAGTATATTATGACTCCAAGAAAAGTCTGAGAGGAGCGAAATTATGCGTTGTAAAAACGCATATGAAACAGAAACATATTGAAGTAATGTCGACTCAGCAAATTATCACGCCACATGCACTTCCATTGTTTAGGCAAGACAGGCCTAAGTCAGTACGTAAGCAAATGGAGAAAGATCGTTTGGATCCTGTTAAATCAAGGAGACCAGATTTACCAATTACCTCTGGGCAAGGTGGGAGAGTTGCATCTTCTGGTGGAACTCTCAGTTCTTATGTAATTCGAAATTTGGGACTTAGTAAGAGGATAGAGGATGATCAAGATCCTCGGGAGGCTATTTTGAAGTATGCAAAAGTAGCAGAAGAGAATCCGTACTGGATAGCTCCAGCGTATAAGAAAACCCAGCCACAGACAATATTCCAGACGACAGACGAACAAGATGGAGCGCCAAGTACGAAGAAGCAAAAAACTTAAAGACTGTAGATGCATCGTGTTTTATGAATTTTTTATCATTGTATATAACAGTCGAGAAAATCGTTTAGATATGTTAAGGATTAATGTATTAATAAATGAAATAAATTATATTTAAATGAAAAATTGTTCTATTTTCCCTACATCCTATATTCTACGTTGTTTCTTTTCTTCTGAATTTTTAACGATACTACCAATTTTCCTAAATGCATTTCTCACACTTTGTATCTTATCCATAAAAAATAAATATATTGTAAATATATTGTAAATATACTCTTAGCTTAAGTTTAATTGCCCATTTAAAAATCGCCACATTCTATAAATATAAACGAAATTTGCTATATTACAAGATAAAATTTGTAGCCAACAAAATAAAATTTGTAAATTATTTTCTTTTAACGAATATGTAATATCTTTGTAGACAAGGTGCCCCATTTTAATCTATGCAATTATCTCTGAAACCATTCGTCATATAAAAAATGTTTCAAATTGCTTTTTCCCTGTTTTGAGAGGAAAAAAAAATAATAAAATAATAGTAACCTTCTTATCTCCTACAGGCATTTATCTAAAGACAAACTAAGTAAATAGAAAAAAATGAATTTGAGACATTTTTTATATACGACGAATAATTTCAGAGATAATTGCACTTACAGATTAAAATGTGTTTCTGTAGATATAATATTTCTTTAGCTTGTTTACTTTCTCCCTGCTAAAAAATTTCAAGAAACTCTCGTTTCCAATATTTAATCTACATCAACTAATTGTTATCGACTTATAATTGACAAATTTCTTAAAAGAAAAATAGAAAGTATTTATTAAGTAATAATGGGATTTACATTTTGTTCTCTTTATTTAATAATCTCCGAAAATAATGTACCTATTAAGGATCAAATGGTATTATAATATTAATATATCATATATTTTATATTTATATATATAATATATAATATATTATATATGACACGTTATATATAATATATTATATATTACGTTTAAATTTCTGAAAATTTTATAAAATTACAGAATCCCGATTACAGCATAATGATGAAACATTAAGCGATCTTTTTTTTCATGAATTCATTCTTAATACTTATTTCTCGGTAAAAAAATAGAGTATTAAGAAATAGAATTCGATAGTAAAATTAATTGCAAATAAAATATCGCATTAACCAAATATTTGTCTCTAATGAATCGATACGATATATGTAAATACAATTTAATAATACTTTACAGCAATACTTTGTAAAAATTCAATCGAGATCTTTTCCCTTTCTGTGAAACACTGTTCTCGATCTACCGTCTCATTTTAAATGTTCGTCAAATGTTTAAAATTTATAATTCTAATCCGATCGTACAGCTATGTTTCGCTCAGAGGAAAAAGAAATCTTTCGAATCGCCAAGTTTAGGAACTACCAATTATTTACACTATCATTTTCACTTTTGGATCATGTCGATCATTACGATCAAACAATTATTTACTAGTATTAAAGCTGACAGTGAAGTAAACGAATATTTTCGATGTTTAATTAACTACTATCCTCTGTTAATTTATAGTTCATATAGTATGGTCGAAATTTACAGTTATTAAACATGATCGAATAAACACGTATAATCTTTCTTATGACATAATTGCTTGCAATCTGTCCCACGTAACATGCCTTATATTATATAATCTAATAATAGTAACTTTATAGGCGAAATTTTATAGGCGCAATTCATCATTGTACTAATTTTTGTACTAAATGATCTTTTATACTTTTAAATTTAACCCTTAACTAGCATGATAATTTCCTTTGGTTTTTCAAAATTTTCTTCTCGGACTGTTGTAATTTTTGTAATTGTCTTCGATATTGCAATAATTTAAATTTTAAGCTCTTTCGTAGCGGACTTTTATGCTTTTATAAGAAATTTTAAAGTGAAAAATTCTATAGAAAATAATATATCTGGGGTTTCACACATAGTTAATATATAGGGGTTTCATACATAGAAAATAATTTTGTACGAATATACGAAAAATAATTTTATACGAACGTATGAAATACAACTTTGTATTGAGCTTCTAATTTTTTAACTGTATATTTAAAAAGAATTTTAAAAAAATGTTCAATTTTTTAATTATAAATTTGCATAAAAATCCGTCTATTTATTAGTCTATTTATTAGTAAAATTTTACAAGTCACAAATTACAAGTTATTAGTATCGAGCTCTTTTTGTGCAGCAGCAGAACAAAAATTAAATTTCACAAGTAAACTATATAAATTTAAAAACTAAATATTCTAGAATCTATTCTAAAAATATCTATATGAATATTATTTGATTATTCTATTTGATATAAATGATTGTAGAATTTTAACTATAACTTGTAATTTGCAATTTAATGTGTTAATATTATTATATAAAAATTGTTCAGTCATTAATTGAGATCTTGTCAAAGTATTATTCACACTAGTTAATCATTTTGCAATTCCCATTTTTTTTTCAATTAATTAAGATACTTTTATCGCAATTACTGCTCTATAATTTTTAATTTCAATTATTTTCAATCTTATTGTTAAAATTACGATTCTTCATTTTTTCATTTACAATTATCCTATTAAAATTAACAATATACATCAAAGAGGAATTCTATACTTGATATATCTATATAATATAAATATTTCTACATATATACAATATTTGCTTACGTATAGCTGAACAATTCAATTCTTTAAATTCATTAGTTATGATGATGGTAGATGTATCAAATTAATCTTTGTTCATAAGCACTAGGATAGCCCTTTGGCACGATCTTCAGAAATAATTAGAAAACTATTTAAGAATTATGATTTGATAGATAAATAAAAAATTCATACATTTAATCCCATCATTGTACGAAAACTTTATATAATTCTAGCAATTATTATTAATACTTTGATTGCTATAATTATTATTGACGATCGACGTTATTTTTTAATTAAATGATTAAAATAAAATAAACTTCTTTCTAACATTATGGAAAGAAATTCGAAAGATTTCCTCAATGTTTTATTTCATATAATGTATAATTATAATGTATAATTATAAATTATATAATTTTATGCGATTGTAAAATTATAAATTATATAAAAAATTATATAATTTTTTATAATTATAAATATTAATTTATAATTATAATTATAAATTATGATTTTGTGAAATTTAAAAAGAAGTATTTATAACTACATTGCAGATGTTTATGCAGTTATAAAAAATTTCAAAATGTAAAGCTGTATGTAATGTATCAAGATAATAGGTCTTTATGCAGTTATGAAAAGTTTCAAGATGCAAAATTGTATGTATATAAATAATATATGTATCTGTTCAACTCTTATTTTCTTAATTAATAATAATAAAACGTTCACAAAAATATGAATTTAGTGCCTGATCTTCAATAAGTTAATCGTTAAAATTAATCATTATACTTTATATGAGACCAAATATATACTTTATATGAAACCAAAAAGCGTCCTAACATTTATGAACAAAGGTATATATTCTCATGTATATTATATGTTTCTACAGGAACAAATCAAATAATTCTATCATACCATCGACAAAATTTCGATACTTTTTTCTGAAGTACACTTTAAAGTTGGATATTTTTGAAATTTCTAATTTTCTCATTTTTACATTTTAAATTTAATCTAATAAGAGTGTTGTTTACACAAACCTTCTAGCAGTTTCATCTTAGGTCATTAATTTTTAAAAGGAACTGGGAACCTTAAAATTTCCAACTTTCTCATTAGCAGACTGCGGATTTTGTTATAGTCGTATACATTTGTTATAATTGTTATAATTGAATGCATTATATTCAACTGTAGATGTAACGTTTAGCAGATGTAATTTCTATTTAAGTTTCGCTTTCTTTAATAATGGTTATAAAAATACAAAAATGCATAAAAATCCACAATCTACTATTACATTATTGCTATAAATATTATTGATAAATTTCTCTAAGAATGCACGAAGCTTTCTACTGTTCACGAGATTTCGCAGTTTTGAAGACCAAAGTTTTTATTGCCTAAAAATTATTGCCTAAGAGTTCCTTAAGGAACTGATTTATACAAGAACCAAAATCCTTCTCAACATTGGTAATCTCGAGATTCCTTCAATAAATATCACACTTCGACAGCTCAACATATTTCGCAACAACTTTTCAAAAAAAAAAAAAAAATCTTGTCCTGTCTTTAGAATGTTATTGTAACTAATCTAAAAAAAATAGAAATCTCAATTGCAGAAGCAGGTGTGCCGCGCGCGCGCGTTATAAAGGATAGCAAAAGCAACGAAATCTAATCAGAAAGAAATCTCAGCAACTCCGACTTTCTCAGTACCAACTATAAAACGACTGATGTGGGGCAGGTCTGGGTGGTTGTTGGAAACCTTGAGCACTGTAATGACTTGCGAAAGCTTGATGAGGATGCGCAGTATGAGCATGAGGTTGCTGGAGGCATGTCGGTGAACTCGAAAGTCCAACTCTTCCCCCGCTGGAAATCGGAAGATTCCACGATGGTGAAGAATTTTCTTGACTCGCTTGTTGCTGCTGTTGCTGTTGTTGTTGTTGTTGTTGTTGTTGCTGAGCTGGAGACACAGAACTGATTGGTAAATCCGCCGATGTTAACTGATCGGATGCCGAGTTCGAATTCCCAGAATTTGGACCCATCATGGTAACCAGAGAATTCGGAGTTGGCGATAGCTGATGACTATTGGCTTGTTGGTAAGTTGACGAAGATGCTGCGGCGACTGAAGACACTTGATGATTTATGTGGCTACTACTAGTCGAGGATGTTGCTGGTAATAGGGAACTGGGGTAGGTTACCGATGCTGGAAGACCATAACTTGGTGTAGCTCCGACGGATGACGGTAGACGAGCTGAATCTGGTGTCAACTGGTGAGACATGCTGGTATGATGTGAAGAATATAACTCTGGAACTGGAAGAAAAGAATTTGGTTAGTAATTTGAACGGTGAAGATAAGGTCTGTGTTCTTATTGTCGATTTGAACAATTATTTTTAAATATTTCAATGAATAATAAGTTTCTGTTAGATCCAAATTTTCGTATCATGTTGAATTCAATTTCAGAAAATATTTATACCCTAATTAGAGATAGTTGCAGATTTGTTGGTGGATTATAAATATGAAACAAAGTGGAGGAACATTTTAGATGTTCTTTTAATTCGAATTTTAATTTAAATTAAATAATACGAGGTATTTGAGACTGTCAAAGTAGAGACTTCACTTTTCAAGACGAGACCAAGTGGATCGTTGAATGATCTTTACAAAGTTATATTAAGTTTAAATTGTCGACAATTTTTCATTGTCATACAGTTATGCTCTTCACTGTATATCTATAAAATATAGTGATTTGAAATACCATATGTATATCTTCTAAGTTGTTACAAAAACAAGAATCTTTATAATTAAAATCCTTTCATAGAGATTTTTTAAAATGAATTATGTTTTACAAAGCTTCGATATTTTACAAAAATTTAAAATTCTTTATGTGAAATAATAGGAAAAACTTTAATTCTTCGTTTAAAATTACAACAAAATGAAGAATTAATTTAAATATTAAGTTAATAAATTCATAAATAGTTTTCAATTTAGAATCTTGAAGAACGAATTTCTTTTTGTTAAGAAAATATTTCAAAGATGATTTCAAATTTTCAATTATTAGTATCTTTTTTATTTTGTCATTGTTAATTGAACTGTCTGAACTTTTCTGAAAGTTTTTGCAATAAAGTGTAAGCACTGTTCTATATCCATGCATCATTAGATTCCTAATGAATCCAAGTACGTCATTAACTCTTTATAGAGCACCTACCACTTTACTGTCATTTGCAAAATAAACTACCTACTCTGTTTCTACTTTGTAACTCTAATCAAGCTTTACAAAACAAATAACTGATATTGGAGCAACTAAGAATGCCATTAAATTTCTGTATTCTGATTTATTTATTAAAAGAGAAATTTAATTTAATATGTAAATATAGCTTGAAAGAAATTAAATGATTATACAGACTATTTCTTTTAATTTAAGCTTCGTAGAAAAATTACAATTATTCATGTGTGGTCAAAATGAACATTTTTTTTGCATGCTGCGCTTGATATTTATCAATGTCTCCGATTCACGACGCAGTCGTTCATTAAGCCACACGTTTGAAATTTCCCTCAATAAAACTAGAAATTCGTAGAAAATATTCGAAAGTATCATTTATAAAGAAAAAGAGTTTAAAGATTTTCTTAAGGAATAGTTTAAAGATCTTTTCAATAGAAATTCGATTGAAACTCATCGAACTTTCCTCAATAAAAATAAGCTTTATTTCTGGAAGCTTGCCCAACGAGAAATTAATCCAAAAATCTTTCGTAAATGAATTATACTATGGATGTATCTATGGGAAATTTGCTTCAAAATAAAAATAAACAGATTAAGTATTATTTTGCTCAACACAACACAACCTATTAATAATAATAAAACACACAATTACAAAATGAGTATTTTTATTATCCATAACTTTTGAATGGGAATTCTTGATAAAATATTGAAATACGTATTTTTATCTATCTAAGATACAACTGAATCTGATGTTCATTTGTTTAATGTTCGTAGAAATCTAGATTTCCATAAATACCCACTAGTCTACTCTTTCTAGTCTACCTTTTCTAAAAGCCAACAACCAAATAAATCATCCTACCTTGACTCGACGGAAAAGTGGTATCAGGTAGAGTCTGCCCATGAGGATGAGGATGCGAATGACTCGGTGGAACAGCAGTTGCAGCGTGTGGATGAGGCGCAGCTGGGGGATGAAGAACGTAAGACGCAGCGGGATACGCGACGGAACTAACGTAGCCACCGGAAGTGGTCGAGGACAATTGTTTCCTTAGCCTGGCTCTTCGGTTGCTAAACCATACTTGAATTCTAGCTTCGGTCAATTTGGTTCTTTGAGCTAATTCCTCTCTGGTGTAAATGTCTGGATATTGGGTTCTTTCGAAAGCTCGTTCTAATTCGTCTAATTGATGGGCGGTGAAGGTTGTTCTGCTTCTTCGTTGTTTCCTCTTTAAAGGGATTCCTGGTTCGCTGTCACAGTCCGAGCCAGAACTATTTTTACCTTGAAAACACACTGTTCGGTGAATATAGTTAATTGTTGTTTGGAAATTTTGAAATAGAGATTTATCTTAGCTAAAGTGAAATCGATATAAGTATCAATGATGATATTATCATTCGTATGATGATAAGTTTATTGAATTTAATAACATTACTCGTGCATTCACCTGGAATAGTATATAAATTATTGACAAAAACTGAAATAAAAAAAACACAATTAATAATCGCAATAAAATTGCTAGTATCGATATCCAAATCTGCAATTCATAGGTATTAAATTTAGTCGATTTTAATTTAGTGATTATCAACGAGAGAATTTCAATAATAATTGAGAAATATAAAAAAAAATCAAATTATACGAATAAATTGTACGATATAAATAAATAAATATTATTCGCAATAAATTATACCAAAAATTGAATTCTTTATGAAATTGAGTATGAATTATAGAGTGCGAGGGTAGAATAAAAGTAAATGATGGGGTCACGTCTAGGTAATAATTATTAATTTCGCGTCACCTGCTCAACCATGTTTCTGCAGGTGAATGCACGTCCTGGTTTACGGTTTGTTTTGCCGAGGGAGAGTTCAAAAGGAACCGCACTCCAATTCCCATTCTGCTGCTTGTTTCACACTCGATTTCACGATCGACTTGTTTGCCGTTTTATTACCGTATTTCATTGCTTTTTATTTCACGATCGAAATTCTCTTTAATGTGCTCTCGGCGTAATTTGTCGCCAACGTGTACATTTCGTTTTTTTTATTTATAGAGAATTATATCATTCATATTTCAGAATATTTTTTAAATATACAAAACTGAGATATTTCAAGATATCAATTAATTCGAATTAACTAGCATTTCAGAACTATCTTAAAATCAGCATTTAACAATTTTTAATATAAAATTGTAATTTTTTAGAAATTGTGAGAAATATGTTTTCGAAGTTATAAGAGATGATATTGGTAATATTTTGATGTAAAGTAATTCAGAATCTCTGAAACAATTTAACAAATATTCGATATTTATTCACGATAAAAGAATCATTATTGTAATTAAAGAGTTTATTAAGTGATATTTGCATTAATCTGTCAATGTGAAATAATCCAGGATCAATTAAAACGTGTCGAGTGTTAATGAAATGTACGGACAAAGATGTTTGAAACTTGAAATTATGAACGTCGATCGAAGGATTAAATAGACCGCGAGCACGAGCGACTGCAAGAAGTATGATTTACTACAAGGACACCAGGCAACTATAAGAAAAGTGACGAGTGATGACTGATGACTGATGACAGCAGAAAAACACGTTCCACGATCCTTTCCCTTCGATCGAATAAACTGACTGATGATAACAAGGTTACCGAGTTTTGCTTGGAATAAATCAAAACGATTTGACCTTCTTGCAATTTCAATGCGTATCTACGATTAATAAATTAATAAATTTTCAGATATTAATTACAGTGAAGAACGCAACTGAACCAATAAATATAGATTTCACATAAATCGTTTCTCGTTAATATTGAAGCATGCAAAAAGAAAAAAATACAGACTACAGAAATATTTTGAGCGACTAACGAATAATCGAAATAATTTTTTTAAAATTGTGCACTGGTTAACGAAAATATTCGAACGTACTTATTATATATTATGTTATAATATATTTTAAAGTTTCATTAATTTATTACGATTTCATTAATTTTTTACGATGAGATTTAATTATATTGGTAAATTATTTTTTACTTGTATATGTATATTTATTAAAAAGAATAGTGATTAAGTATCGCTTTATATTGTTCATGTCCATTATATTGATGTTAATGCTTATTATTTATATGTCAATGTACATTATACATTATATACATTAATGTTATATGTACACTGTATAATTATCCAATTTTCGATGGTAAAAAAAAATTTGTTTACGAAATCTGTATTGTTTCTACTGTTCTTCGCTGTATTTACTCATTAATAGGTATATAATTTATTCGTTATACTTAATATTATACTATTCATTGCATGTACTTAATATTACTCTATTAACCTAATATTACTCTATAACACTATTAGTATAAATAAATAATAATACATTAC